GTCTCCCGAGCTACCCTCTTTTTCCGAAAATGGTGGAAGGGCCTTTTAAAGAGGATGATTGTCATTGAAAACCCCTGTTAGCCTTCGCGAGTGTTGGCCAAAGGATTGAATTGGATCCAATGGATCCAATTGGATTCAATTGGAATCTGTTAGTAAATGCTCTGGATAGACAAATTCCTGCACAAGTCGGAATGGATAACGCCCTGTCCCCATACGACCCCTCTGCACCCTGCAAGGCCTAGCAAACTGGGGTTGATGAATCCGGGGTTGACATGAACGTCCGTGGGTTACCTCTTGACTCTTGACGTCTGAGGGGTCTGGAGACCCCTTCTTTGACTTGGGTCGAGAAAATCGAGCACAATGGCACGAAATCCAGGAAGGCACCAGGTTTGGGATTCGCATTTACTCGTGGCCGGTGAAGCAATTTCCCGGTCTTCGCACCAGCGCACACCAGACACCACAAAGCAACGCGCCAAGCAACCCTCAAGTCTCAACTCAAGAGCGGCCCACACACACACACAAACACAAGGCCCCCTGAAAGGAACCTCATTCCAAAAGGCCCCAAAAAAAAGATGCTCAAGACCACCCAGAGGAAGTCCTTTGAGAACATCACCCGCCTGTTGCTTTGGCATGGTCCACTGGTTGCCAGTCCCGGGCAAACCGCCTCGGAAGGCTGAAAATGTGTAAACCCAAATCTTTCGGCCATTTCTCAATCAAAGAAACTCTGCAGAGGTAAAAGACCAAAAGACCACTGGAAACCAAGGGGTTTGATCAGTTCCTGAATATTTCGTTTGCCCGGACCTGACTTGAGGCGTGAGCCAATTCGGATCCTACTTGTCACATGTCTCAAAGAACCGATCGGAGAGTGTGACCAGCTTTGGCTGTTCTCACTTGGCCAGTGACCAGCCCAAAAACAAGTGTACGCTTTTTGGGCCACCACTAGTAAAAAGGGAGAGCCAGCAAGGAAAAAAGTGTAAAGTGTGTCCACTGGCTGGGTGGGTGTTAGCTGAGGCCACGTCACTGCGAGCTGGGCGTAACCTCGCGAGAGCAGCCAAGGTTGGGCCGACATGTTTGAATCGTTTTTGTTTCACAGGCTCCCCTATGTCTCCCTCAAAACGCCTGCCCTACCGAGCAACCTCCTTGCGGTTTCCCGTTCTACATGCAGCACTCTTGGAGGGAGGCTTGCCCAAACCCTTTGCCTGTGGTGGGGTCTCACAGCCCTTGCTCCGCCCGGACGAGCAACAGGTCGTGACGCTTAATGGAAAGCCAGCCAACGCGTCAGAGCGATTCGGTCACACCCAGGGCCAGCCATGTTTGTGCCCATTCTCCATCAGAAACCTTGCCACGGGCCACTTTTGCTTCTAGGTGACCTAGATGCGTCCCAAATCTGATGATCCCATGCCCCGCACCAAACTGGAAACACAGGGTATCCGTTGTCATTGCCGCGCTAGCATGGAACCCGCCTAAAGGCACCCAAAAGACCACGTTCCGCTTAAAGGGACCTTCTGGTGGATTCCATGTAGTTGGGTCGGCGGATATGTCCCTCTTGCCAACTTGACCGAAGGGGTCTTGACTTTTGTGGATGTGAACCCTATGGACCAGAAATCTGGCGTCGCCCCGCTAAAGTCTGTTTAGGTTCTGCATCATAGAGACATGGAAAAATGGATTGAAGCCCTTCTCTCCAGGATTCCCTTCTACATCCCTGCGTCACTTTTGCTGGGGATGTAACTCGAATCGGGCAGGGAATGATGAGAACATCACATCTCCAAACTCGGACACCTTTTGACCTCTTTGCCAAAACGCAAACAGCGAGCGTGTTCTTGTTTAAGCAAAGCAGGAACCAAAATAACGTCCGCCTCTAATTCATACATTCGACCCCCCCCCGGTTGCCCTCGGATAAAGTTAGGGCGGGCCATTTCAGGCTTGGGATCCGGCCTGTCCATGTATTTCCCGAGGATTGGTCTTTCTTAGTCTTTCTTTTAAATACCAATCTAGCATTGTGCGAAGCTTGCGCGAGTTTTTTGGGTCATTGGGAATCAGCTTTACTTCGGGCCTGGTAATTATTTGATGTCTGAGGCTTCATGGGGGGGTAGGGGTGACTCTTGAAGGACTTTAAATAGAAAGAGGTGGCCCCCCAAGCATTTGGGGGATCTGCAGGGAGAATAGGAATCAAGCCTATGGTCAGCCCAATTGAATGAGAATTCATCAAGCTGTCTGTCAGCTGAGGAGTGCAAAGTTAATTTCAATCACATGGGGACAGTCATGGTGTTTAATAGTTGCTTTTGTTCAACATGTGTTTGGTGAAAATATAGCTTTATTAAGGGATAGTTTACCAAGCGGAGGTTCTCATTGTATTTCATGTGCTTTCTTTGGAATAAAATCCAACGGGCGTCTTTGATTTCGACTTAGGCTGAGTAAAGCCCATCCCTTGAGCACCCTTCTCCCGGGAAGCTCCTTGCGCAAGGATTCCGCCCCAATTCCCTTCGCGTGCCTGTGGTGCCGGTGTCTGTGACAGAGCCAGCCTCGAGTCGGCTCTCGGAAGTCGAACGGGGCTGAGGGCAATCTGAACGCTCCGGATTTCTTTGGTTTGACCACTAAGTCTGGGCTGTTCTTCTATGGTTTGGCCCGGTCCATCCGATGTTTGCATGATCCCCAAAGGGAAGCCACTACGAAAAAGACCAAATCCCTGCGTAACGCAAGGTAAAAAAAATATGAACTATGTGGCAGCCCCTCCAACATGTCAGCGTGGGGCCCACTTCTGGTCGAGATCATGGAAATCTTCGACAAGTACCAACGCCTTGCCACGCAAAACCGGGCTTTGTTCCAAAGCCTCCTAAAGTCAACAGGGATAAGGCTCGGCCTGGGGCCCGCGCGTCGTGGAACCTCGCCGACTTGCAAGCCACAATCCCGGGATGAAGGACGAAAGGAGGGAGGTGGGTTTGCATGGGATAAGGTTCGCCATCTCTTTGCCAATTTGTGTGGCGGTGGTGGTGGCAAACACCCCGTCAAACCCGCCCAAGAACGGTATCAGCTTCCAAAATCCCCACTTGCCAACAACAGTGAAGCAACTCACACACAAATAAACAAACACAAATAAACAAAAAGAGAAGCAAGCAACCAACCAACCAACCAACCGACCGACCGACCGACCAACCAACCAACCAACTAACCAACCAACCAAACAACAAAACAAACAACCAAAACAAACAACAAAAAACACAAGCATGCCCCGAAACAACAGCCCACGCCACGCCCCGCTCCTTTCGCTTGAGGGCCCGGAAGCTCAAACCGCGCCGAACGCACAGGGGGCTCCTGCATCGGTGCGGCTTGCGGCTTTCGGTGGCTTTGGGACAAATGGAAAGAGCTCACGTCCGGACGAGTGGAGTGGCCAAAAGTCACCAAACTTCTGGTTTGCCACTAAAATGGCAACCAAACCCAAAACCCAAGTAAAGATTATATAAGTCTGTCTTTTGTTGATACTCCTTTTTGGTAACGGTCTTAAATGGAAACCAAAAAGAGAACCACTATTTGTTTTTAGGGGGGGAATGGAAAGGGTGGGGCCTTGTTTGCCAACAATTGTGGTCGTCCTTTTATGTTCTTTTTGGTTATCCTTTTTGCCCACCAGTTGTCACTTTTGTGCCGGTCAAGTTTACATCTGGCCCAGATGCCTTGCTGGTTCTCAGCGGGTAATGAGCTGGAATGCGCCCTATACACCATCAACGATTTGATCTCCTGCAGGAATCCCCAAATGCGGTTCAGTGCCAACACGTCTCGGTCATTCCGTACCTATTGCACCAGCAAGACAAAGAAGGGTTGGGACTTTTGGCCGTCAAAACGCAAAGGGTACAAGTGAAAGGGAAAGGGGAGAAGTTGCATGGGTGGGGGGAACAAGTGGAAAGGGTCTCATTCTTCCATCCACTTTCATCCAACTGTAAACTTTAGACAAAGCGTTCCAAATCGGATGTGTGATGGAGCAACTGGTCGCTTGAAACAGGTTGAGATACATGTTGTCTGCAGGACAAACTCATTCGCGTTGTTAGACACCGGGAACATATCCTGCAATCCCCTGTTGAAGGACTTCATCCTGGGTGATCTCGTTTTACACGCAATCTCACCATAACGCCGCCAGCGGACAAACAAAAACAAAACTGCAAAAAACAAGTACAAGTGAATTCAAGGTGATCACCAAGTGCCGGGATTCGCTGGATGCCAACCATTGCGCCGGGCAAGAGAAAGGAAGAACCAACTGGGATAAAAACAAACTCCCCAAAGCAATAAGGGAAACCCCAAACAACACTCCGCCAAGTTTGTGGTTGCCTTACGATGCTTTGCAAGAAACAGAGGGTCAGAAGCTCCTGTCCCTTGTGCAAAATAAGAAGGGTCGCTTAAGCCGTAAGACATGAGCTCCAGAGAAACAGTTTGCGGTATCTTGGGTGTGTTTTGTTGTTATTTTTTCTTTTTCTTTTTTCCGGGGCCTTGTTCCAGTGGGTTTCAAACCTTTGGGAAATCACTGTCGGATTCCCTGTTAGACGCACCCTCGCACCCTTTACTGCACTGCCGATTGACCTGGAACCCAACAACCCATGATTTGACGAGGTCACTCCTCTTGAGGGATTTTATTTTTTTGGCTTCCACGGTAATTCGCAGGGGCTACTTGGATGTTTGGCCAACTTGATAATTGGTGAGCCACTTGGGCTCTTGTCCACTGATAGCAGTGGAACCTTACCTAGGGGGACTTGTGAGTGTGAATAGTTTGTCGCCTAAGTTGGCCGAACATCCAGGTGAAGGACCGAGGTTCCTTGAACCTCATTGCGAGTGAGTCTCAGAAATACTCTTTTCAAAGGGTTGGGTTGCAGAACAAATTATGGGAAAGCAGCTTCTTTAGGGTGTTTTGGGGCCATTTCCTGCGGACTTTCCTGTAACCAAACCCTTTGACTCTTGGGCTGTGGTTTGGGGTAGGGACTCCAGAAGCGTTTTCTCCCGTGTCTCGCGAAAAGGCTTTAACGCTTTGCACGCGCCTTCAGGATCGCCAGGATATTTTCGAGCTCATGCCTCACCGCCTCGCCCTGGCCAGCTAGCTGTCAAATATAAATACAAACGCATATTTGTGTACATATATGGCCGTGGGTCAAAACCAATGGTACCATTTTGGGGTAGGTGCACCACCCAAAACTCGTCTATTTCAGTGAGGATTGGGATGTTCACAGGGGGTACGATTTGGATTTTGACCCATGGCAATAAATTCCGCTTTGTTGTAGTATGCCATTTCTTTTTGGGCGTTCCCTTAAACCTACCCCAAAAAAGATACCCTCCCGCCAATAAACCAAACATCTAACCTGAGGGTTTGGAAGGCTTTGGGGGGGAGTTGGGACTGGGACTGCTGCCAGGCCCAGCCACTCCCCCCCGGGTCAAGGCCTGGCCTTTGGCCATTCATGCACCCGCTTGGAGAGGCCTTTGGGGGGGGGGGGGTTTTAGCGGCCACAGCACAAGAAGCAGCACAACGGCCCTGACGCATCCTACAAGGCAACGGCATATCTGCCTTTCTGAGGCGCGACAGGAGAGCAAGAAACAAGCAGGGAACCGACAACCGCGGAAAGTCATGGGAAGATTGCCTGTACAGGCACTTCACCGGGAGGTTCTTATTTGGACTACCCCTGCGAAAAGTCACACTTTTGATAGGTTAAATGGATCCTCCCCCGCCAAACTCTAAAAAAAATGCTACAAGTAGGGAACCGGATGGCTGGGTTTCCAGCCTTCCCGTGCATATCTTCGAACCTGCCGAAACGGTTCGGAGGGGCGCCTGGGCGCGAAGCCGAAACGGCGCCTTCGGGTGTTTGATTCGGTTCACTCGACGGGCGCCTGGTTCTGGAGCTCGGAGGAGGTCATGAGATGAGTCTCCGCCAGGGCCTTGTGCCTCAGGCTCTCAACTGCTTGCGACAGGCCGTTCGGGCAAAAATGAACCCATCCCCCTGAAAGGAAGCCACCAGTTGGCATGGTTTGTAAGGTCATTCCCTCATTCCCTGCTGAGCACCAACAAGACTGTGCAGTTTGATTGGGGGGGCTGCTTCAAAAAGGGAAGGATCTTCTCTCACAAGATTGGATCTTGGATTCAAGGGGCTACAACTTGATGCTTACCCCTTAAAACTCCAAGCCCTGGGGAAGTTAATCTTTTACAGACATATAGCCCATGCTATCCCCAACAAGTTGAAAAGTTGTGTTTTTAAGAGGTAAGGATGTTCAACCAAGGGAATCCGTCTAAAAGGCAAACCCCCGCCTCTGCCATGTGGAACTGACCCTGTGGGCGAACCCCAGTGAGCAAGCCCTGTGTATCAATCAGCCCCACCACATCCCACTCCCTGGAAGACAGAAATTCTAATTGAACCGGGACTCCATGTTGTAAAGGAATCCCAGAATCTGCCCCGGGATTTGATGGCTCAAACGCTCTCAACTGACCGAAGCTAGCGCTGGGACATGGAAATCAACGGTTAGCGCCTTTTGGACCCTACAGTAGACCATACCGGCAAAACCAAAAAGATTTGCTTTGGGCAAGTGAGAGCTGCCGCTACCGCTCGGAATGTGATTTGCGTCTCGAGTGGCTGATGAAGCTGGCCGAAGCCATCCTCAAACAGCGAGGCGTTCTGGACGTGCATGGCCTCCCAAAACTGAACACCGACCCGGCGGAAACCCACCTGGGGCCTGGCGCATGCCCTCCCCAAACCGTGGAAACCCCACATGGGAAGTTGGCCAAATGGCCAGCACCATCCAGCAACCCCTGGCAACAATAAACCTAGAGGCGACAACAAAATGACTAGGTCCTCCAGTAGAGATAGAATAAGGCCACCCTTTTTTCTGTAGTCTACTTTAGTAGGGGAACCCTCCCCAAACAAAGGGCAAAAGGGCACTACTGGGAGACCTGGATGATGTTTGAACCGTGTTTGGGATTCTCTCTTGTGAGCACTCTGGCGGACAGGGAGGCCTTTGTTTGGCGTTCCCTTCACTCAAATAGTTGCACAAGGGTAGCCTTCAGCTGCTCAGTCAGGGACCCTACAAACCCACCCCAAAAGAGCTCCCCTAACTTTACTTGGCCGCAAGTTTGGCCCTAGATATTCTATTGCGGCTCATTAACCTCTAGCTTTTGGGTATTTGGCTCGCCTCATGCTCGAAAAAAACACAAGAGCGGTGGATAACAGTGGGCTGGAAGAAACACGTCCCAACACAAAACCGTGCTTTCTTTCATCTATGTTGTGCTGCTTCCAGTTGGTTAAGACCCCAGCAAAAAATACAAGTATTTTCCAGTAGTGATGTATTATTTTTAAGATCAACATGGGAACATACAAAAAGTATTAAGCAAATGGAGGGCTGGAATGCTATTCCCTTGAAAGCGCCACGCGCCCGAAAACCTCTCTCGCGTCTGGCGAGCCGCCTCCAGCATTTGATGCATCTGCTGCTTCATGGATTCCTCAGACTTGTCCGCAGACTCCGAATGAAAACGCATCACCCGTCCCAAGGAAAAATCAACGAGTTCAACGTCCAAGTGGTTGCCCACCTTTCCTTGCGGCCCAGCTGTTTGGGGGAAATCACCACACGATCAATCTTGCGGGGTGTCAAAAAAACGGCGGGGCTCACAAAATGGGAGGATTGCCCTTTGGGAAAGAAGGGGAACTTTCAGACATCACCTTGTGGACCCATTGATGCCAACTAATTTGGCATCAACGGGTCCACAAGGTGATGTCTGAAAGTTCCCACAACTCGAAACATAGAGGCTCCTGGCACAGTCCGCAGGGAGCGGACACTTTACCCACTATATCCCCATTTTCATAGGCGTCCTTTTCAAGGAAATAGATGGCCCTGGTAGATGATTGAACCACCAAGTAAACCAGGACCATCTATTTGTCGACCAAAACAACCAAAAAGAACAACTATGCCCATGTTCCTAATGCTCAGCGTGCAAGGGAGGCGGAGACCATGTTAAACACGTGGCTCAATGTGTTAAAGCTCATCGCCCAGTACTTTACCGTCAATCTCATCCGCCAGGTTGAGGGGGAGACAGCCCGCTCCTGCCTTTGATGCCCCCTCCCCCGGAAACGGCCCAAGGCGGCCACTGCTCGTGGCACGTGCTGATTTCCCCTCGACCCCCCGCTGGTCGCAGGCGACACGCCACAGCGAAGCCAGGCGGCATCCAGGCTGGGCGGCTGGGCTTGGAGTACTCTGAGGCCTCTGAAGCATCCGAGAGCGGGACCCACTGGCCCAAAGAGGCGACTAGATCCTCCAGATTTGCGAGCATTGAAGAAGGGTACCCGATGTTTTTTTCTTTTTTTCCGCAGTCTATTTTTGCTGGGAACCCTCCCCCAAAAAAGGGGAGAGAAGGGCACTGCTGGGGGACCTCGAACTGCGTGCTTTCAACATCTCTCTGCTTTGGGTGGAGAGGAGTGGGGTGCCCAAGGCTCAGGTCTGCCCGAGAAAAAAAAGCATGGAACCAAAGTTCCAGGGGCCCAGCCCAATGACATATTTGCACGTGGATTGCAACTGTGCCGCTGCTCTCTGAAAGCTTCTGGATGATGTCCCTGTAGGTCTTCTCCTTGTCCAACCTCAAACCGCCAGCTTGCGGTTCCGAAACAACCAAGTCAAGCCAAGCCTAGCCAAACAAACCAAAAGAAATCAAACGATTTCGTTAGCCTAATCCAGCCAACCAAACCAAACCAACAAACATGCGAAAACAAACTAAGAGTTTGCATCTTGAGCGAACATCCCAGGAAACCTTCAAGCAATCGGCTACCAGCCCCGAGCCTCTGGGAGCTTCCGTCGCTTTTCCCTATCCCCTTCGCACTGTGAGCAACGTAATGTCCTCCAGCAGAGAGGTTAGAATAAGGGTACCAACTTTGTTATTTTTGTCTATCTAGTAGGGAACCCTTCCCCAAAAAAGGCGTCAGAAAGCGCGCTGCTGGGGGACCTAGTCTACGGTTTGCGTACCCCAAATGGACAGATCCCAACAGAAGAGCGGTATGAATGGATATTACACGGGTTGTGCGTTGGCCCGGTCATGCATATCCCACATCATCCGTACATATGGCTCCCAGGGGATGTTCATTTCCGCTAGGCACGCCCTTGTAACAAATGGGTTGCGTAAAGGGCAATCAATCTATGTTCGTGTATCTTCAGTGTTCAATACATGTATGTACACTGTATACACACAAATATGACAATGTATACACACAAGTATGACAATGCATATATACTTCCATTAGCTTAGGAATGTGTCTAACTGTCCCCTGTTGCTTTTAAAGGGAACCTATCACTATTGCACATATGCTTATTTTTCCAGGGGACTTAAGCAGGTGCATACATATACATATACATATACACATACACACTTGCATTCACTCCCTGATGATCCAAATGTTCATCCACTGACCAGGCGCAGCTTCCAAGATGGTTGCCCCCTTGGTGCAGAGGTCTGCTGTACAGGGTTGGACAAATCCAGCAAATAGCTGCCCCTACTGTGCATGGACGAAATCCATTTCGCACAACTAAGAATCCCTGGAATCATGATTCCGTTGCAAATACCAACAGTTTCAAAGTGGTGCAGGATTTCATTCATCCACTGTGGCTGCGCCTATGCGTTTCCCGCAATTTTTTGGGCCAGCCAGGCCAAGACCCCTTCAGTGACGTTTACGGGGAAACCAGGAAACCCCTCCCAAAAAATGGAAAGAAGGGCACCACTGGTAATTGTCTGGATAGGGGCAAGCGTATCTGAAGCGCCCCCGAAACCGGAGCGCCACCGTCCAACCGCCCAAGGAGAACTCGGTTGCGAAATCTGCTCCCCTGCCAAACGTTTAACTTTCAGTGGTTTAATACGGAAAACCCATTCGTTGGCAAACAGTTAAAGTCCTAACATCCCTTGGCCACATGCGCCAAAGAAATGGAGCGCCCCAAGCCGTCCAACCGCCCAAAATGGAAGAAATCGGAGGCGCTGCTGCGTCAGCAGCTCGGCGCACCGGGACAGCTGAGATCGGCAGTTCACCTTGAAAGCGGGACCAAAAGCTTTAGGTCCCGGAAAACTAACAACCCTCATTTGAAACTAGGTCCTCCAGTGGATAGGTTAGAATAAGGGTACCGTTTCTTTTTTCTGTAGTCTATGTTATTAGGGAACCTTCCCTTTCAAAAAGGGCGAAAAGGCAACCTAGAAAGGGATCTGGGCCCAGTTTCACCAAGGGCTGTAGGGATCTGGGCTGCCCTCAGATCTGATCCCCTGCGAAAAGTGAAGTGAATGAAACCTGACGTCCCGGTATTCCTGGAAGACAATTTTCCTTTTACACGGAGCCCCTGTCGGGTTCCATGTTAATTGGTGGGAGGGTAAGTTAGGATCTGGGGCCCATGTTCCTTGCTGGTGAGATAGGCAGGGGATGAGGGAATAACCCCAGCGATTCCCTACAAGGAAACCACCAGTTGGATGGTTCATAGGAGTCGTTCCAACAACTCACTCCCTGCTGAGCACCGGCAAGTTTCAGATCCCCTGCTAAAAGTGACGAACGTTTCGTGGGCTAAATGCGGAAACTACCACTAAACCATACTAAACCAACTAAAAACAACCATTACTCCTGGGGCGGAAAAAGAGGTTAAAGAAAGCAACAGGAAGCTAAGGGAAAGTCTGCACCAGTTTGCACGTGACGCACACAACATCCACAGAAAGAGAGGGTTTCCCCACCCACCAAAGGCACTCAAAAGGAACACTATCTGAGCTATATATGGGGATTTGGGGGCTCTACCAAAAGGGCCCGGCCAGACCTACTGTCCACAGTATAGCTCTGTTTGGCAGGGACACCTCAACAAGATCACAGTTCCCCACAGATTTCAACAGTTGCTTGGCTTTGAACTGCTCAGTGCACATCTGGTCACACGGTTGCTCCAACCCAAGGGGTAGATGTTTTGGCAAGGGGAACCTAGAGGATAATTACCAAAGGAATGTCCTATATTTGGGCATGTGTCAAAATCTGATTCCACATTTGAGACCCAAAGGGTGTTCCAAATGGCCACCCCTCGAGAATTCGACGTGCAGCCTCGCAGCAACAGATATTGTTGGGCGCAAAAACGGCGGATGCGCTTCTCGTGAATTTCCAATGTTCCTTTTCGTGCTAGTCGTTTCGGACATGAGCTCGTCTCAAAAAAAGGGGAGCCCCCCCCAAAAAAAAAAAAAAAAAAAAAAAAAAACGGCGGCTTCTTGCCATGGTGTCCTTTCTTTGAAACCCAGCGAGCGCCCTCAAACAGGCAAGCCCATCTAGGTCCAGATTTGAGAGCTTGGAATAAGTTGGTACCGTTTCATTTTTTCTGTTCTGTCTATTTTAGGGAGGAAACCCCAACCCAAAAAGGGGTGAGAAAGGGCACCAATTGCTGGGGGACCTAGCCAGATTCCCCATATTTGCCGCGCACTTCTGAGCAGATTTCTTCTCCGAACCTGGCGTTTCCGAGTGGCTAGATCTGTCGTCAGCTGCTGGATCTCACGCCTGGCTGCTGGGCGAAAAAGACCTAACAGCCTGTCACATCTAAGGTGCCAAAAGCTAGCCCAACATGGCCCAAGCCAAATACTTGCTGGTGATACTGTGGGTGGACAAAATCCAGCACCATCATCATGCCAGGGTTTTTCAGGTGGTGCAGGCTTTCGTCCATCCACAGTAGGCAGGGAATGTTATGAACCCAGGGTTCCTCTTGAAGGAAACCACTAGATGGATGGTTCAGATCAGGGTCATTCCAACATATTCCCTGCCTATCGCACCAGCAAGAATATCAAGCCCAGAATCTCGGGAGTGAGCATGTGCGCCTCCATACCACCTTGAGAAAACTTCCAACTAATATATGGATTGCGGACCTCCTCATTTGAGAGCTTCCAAGGACCAAAAATTGAATCAATGCCATTTGTACGGGTGCTCACTTGTTGGACCCCGAGCAAACTCAAAACGCTGGCAATGGGACAACCACAACCTTTCAGTTGCTCCATGGATGTGTTGAGTCCATGGCCTTAGACGCATGTCCTTACCGCTTTGATCTGTGTGGCGATTGCCCACTGCAAGGCTTGTGACTTTTTGTCAGGGCAAACACAAGCATTTTATACGGGCCTGGTGACGGGTGCGCGGAGCTGGTCCGGAATGGCTTGCATGGTTGTTTCTTGCCGAGACATGCCCAACAGCCGCACCAACAAACCAGCAAACAAGCACCGCAAGCAAAACAACAAACAAAGAACAACAGCCACAGAAGAAGGTAAAGCCCAATGCCAACACACACACACACATGAAATTAGGATTGGCCAAGGCGCTCGTATTGCAAGCACAGGTTCTCCTGACGTATTGCAGCCACGCGATTCAATTCAGGCTCTCAAACTGCAATCACGTTCTGGGTGTATTGAAGCAAAACGTTCTCGAATATATCCTCTGGTGGGTCGCTTTTAAGGGAACCAGCCCTTTTGCCAACTTCGTCCTCTTTGATCCCCTTTGCATGGCGGCACCCAAGAAATGGCACCGAAAAAGGAGTCCCTTGAACTCACACTTCCTGAGTGGATGGACCAAACAAGTCGCCCAACTTTTCATTTACCACTACACAAGTCCAAACCCGAAAAAGTGACTAAAGTCCGAAACGGAACTCAGGGAGTGAGTGAAGGGACCCACCCCACTATTCCTGGCCACCTGTTGCCGGGTTCTCAGGGTGGAACCACCTATTCCAGGGGTCTTTTTACCGGCCCCGAGTTTTTTGCTTTTTTTTTTCTCAGCACCGGACAGCACTCGTCGGCCGAGTCTTCGGGTTTTCGCGCTTCGGGTTTTCGCTCTTCGCTCCGAAGCGTTGGAGATCACCTCGGAGCAGAACTGGCGGAAGGGATCGAAGTCCTCGCGCTTCTCTCCGCAGTGCCTGGCGTCACGAGGCACTCAAGCCACGCCAGTGGATGGCACAAAAAGGGAGGCCCAATATGAGGCTCCTAAGGAGGCTGTAAGAGGGGGGGGGGTAAATGGGGGTGGACCTCCCAACTTGTTGGGAGTACCACTAGGATGGTCTCTTTTTTCTCTCTCTGTCTGTCTGTCTGTCTGTCTGTCTGTCTGTCTGTCTGTCTGTCTGTCTGTCTGTCTGTCTGTCTGTCTGTCTGTCTGTCTGTCTGTCTGTCTGTCTGTCTGTCTGTCTGTCTGTCTGTCTGTCTCTCTCTCTTCTCTTTTCTCTTTCTCTCTCTCTCTCTCACGCACGATTCCGGGGTGAAATGGGCCAAACCCGAAATATAAGGGAGTTGAACCCCCAAATGCCGCAAAAAATGAGGTCTTGGGCTGCTAGGGTAAGTTCAATCTTGTTGTTTACCAGTACGGTGGATGGCCGAAATGGAGTGGATGGCCCAAAACAGTAACCATGTTTGTTGGGAATGCAACTATTGATGGTTCAATCCATTAAAAAGTGACTAACGTCCATGAACTCAGGAAGTGAGTTTTTCTGCACTCCCAAGTGCCCAACTGACTGTCACAGCAACGCGCAGCTTAGGCAACCAACGAAAAAACACACTCAGCAACGCACGCACTTCCGGGATGGATGGGCCAAAGTCCCAGTGTTTTTGGTTGACTAGCTTCCACATGTTTTGTTGCTTTTTTTTCGCCCCTTGGAAAACTAAGAACATCTGTCCAATAGTGATCAGTTCCCTTTCAGTCCAACGAGGGAAAATAACAATACTCTTAAGCAAATGCAAGCTAGTACAATGCTCCTCTCAAACAAATCAAACAAAACACTCCAGTTCGACACACACGTGGAACACGGCGATCCTAGTAACTGGAAGCCAAACACAAGCTCATTGCATCTCTCTTTCTTGGACGTGCTCCGCCGCTCCGTTGGCTAAGACTGCGTGGGGTTCTGGGTTCGGCCAAGTGTAAATCTCATTTCCTGCCATAACTTTGGCAGACATGCCAAAGCATAACGGTTGTTCACCATCAGGGCCCAGAGTTCAGCAGCACCCCGCCAAAAGGCAAACTCTCAACAGCTAGCCTGAATGTGATGTTCAAACCAATCCAAACGTTGTTCCAAAAGTGGAAGCGGACGTAATCCTACTCAGCTAGTAGGCCAACGCTAGAACAATGGACACCACCTGAGAGGATTCAGGGTTCATACTGTGGATGGGCGAAATCCGGCACCACTTCGAAACCATGGGAAACAAATGTTGGTTGGAATTTACAGGGGAATCGACTCATTCCAGAGTTTCTTAGGTGCGAAATGGATTTCACAACCATCCACAGTGTCATGTACCCTGCCAAGGGAAAATCGATGTGGACCCCAGACCCCAGACCCCCTGCGCTGGGCAAGCACGTTCGCCTGCAAAAGTCCGAGTCCGCCAAATAGATATTGCCTGCACGGCTCGCTCAGAGTTCACGGATTCTTTGGGACCTGTTCAGTAGATGTCCACATCACCTCAGCCTTGGCCATCAACACAGATGTCATATTTTGGGAACCCTAAATGCGAAAAACACAAACACCACATGCGACAAATATTGCAGCCCGGATTAGTATGAGTGGATTCGCAGTTGCTTGAGAAACCGCCACTTCCTGAGTGGCTTGGCCAAAGCAAGTCCGGCAAGAAACCCTGGCTTCCACTAAACTGAGAACCAACCCCCAAAACTTGCTGGTGCGAGAGATGCAGGGAATGAGAGTTATGGCTCATGACCCCTCCAAAAACCATCCAACTGGTGATTTCCTTTTATTGGGGACCATTCAAAGCCTTTGGCAGAGTCGTAAGTACCACACTTGCCTTTGGTGCAAAGGAAACACCTCACTGTGGGCTAAGACAACAACTGTCCCAGCTGTAGGATTCTCACCCCACCCCTAAGTTCAAAGTGACTCAAGTTGAGTGACCTGAGAGTTGTGGTTTCCTTTTTCCGGGGACCATTCAAAGTCTGGGTTCCTTCAACCACATCCCCTACCGATTTCGCCCCGAACAGTGACCCAAAAGTGGTTTGTGCTCTCAGGCGCTGGCCGCAGCTGGGACCTGGGCTTGACCAATGGTCAAGGAATCCCCGCAAAAAAGGACGCCGGGGAACGTGAGTGGGGGGGCCGGAAAAGGGGAGTGAGGGGGGTATGGGGGTAAAGGAGGGAGGGGGTGGGGTGGCAATAAAGCTTCCATTTGCTTACTTAAGCCCCTGGAAACACACTGAGGAAATCTGTGCAGTGATAGATTGCTTCCATTTGCTTCATTCAGCCCGGAAAGAATGAGAACAGATGTCCAGTAGTGAAATAGATCCCCTTGTAAAGCCAACAAGGGAGAATAACAAAAACAACAACATAAACACTGAAGCAAATGGAAGATAGTGAGTGGGGGGGGGGTATTTAATCAGGGGTCAACATTGGCCTAAATCACAAACGAATTTGGAGGGTACCTCAGATTTGGGGAAAGGGAGACTGGGTCAATTCATGCGAACATGTTGAGGGACCCCTTGAAAGAATTGCTTGGCGTGGTCAAATCTGCAAGGATCGCGTAAACGGAAGGATACACCCAAGAACCACTTGATTTACAATGCTTCGGGTGATGTACCTGGCCCCAATGCATCCTTTCACCCTGTATAACCAAAGCTGGACACCTCAGCAGGTCAATGTAAGAAACCCAAAAGGGGGCCCATATCCCCGTTTTGGACATTGCTCTACATAGGGTTGGGGTTGTATGTTCAGCTCCAGGACTCTCGCAGGCCCAGCTTCCATGTTGTGAAGTGTAAGTCAGGCAAGACCGTTTGTCCACCAATGGGCCATTGCTAGTTCTCGCCCCCTATTTAAAAGAAAACCAAAAAACAAAAACAACAACATAAAGACAGGTTCTACGCCATGAGAATTGGCTGGGTTGCCATCAAACCAACTTGAGTCAGCCTGGCAGCTTGGAAATTCAGGCCTGGCTTTCGCTGGTCGGGGAAGGGGCTTGGGCGGCAGTTCCGGGCCCTGGTCTTGAAAAAACAAGACATGAAAATCAGCGAAAACTGGGGGCCGGAGAGCCGCCCACGCTCTTTCCCATTTGAGTTCACCCCACTTCCCCGGGAGGGCTTGGGTTTCCCAGCATTGCGGCGGCCGCAGGCTAGCCATCGCTCGCGCGTGAAGCAGCGGCTGAGCTCTTCGGCCCGCGAAGCTGAGCCCAGAAAATGCGCGTCAGGTGAGGCATCGGCCAAAACACGAAGGAGATAGGCACACCCGCGAAGCAAACAACACGTACCACACAACAAACACAACGCAATGATAGACATGGAGAAATCAAGGTAAATGGCAAACCACGAATCCACGTCTCAGTCGGGTGAGGACCATTAAAAACAAAAAAATGCCGATATTTGGCAAGGCAACTTTTATTCAACCCTGGCAGGGTGAGGCTTGAAAAAAGCGGGCCAGGGCGGGCCTATTCCCATCCAGCCCGCGGGATTTCTTGCTTGGTTGACTCAAAGGAGACTCTGGCGCCCTAAAAAGTGCTGCTTGAAAGACCAGGCGATGGACACCTCTGGCATTCTCTTCGCGGAAATTCAAGGCTGTGGAGGTCGTGTAGGAGGCTGAGGTTTTGTTAGGCGAGAGTTCAAGGCTGTGGAGGTGTTAGGGGAACACATATCGCTGTCCAAAGGGATAAAAACAGCCAGATCGAAAGACTGCTCCACCTCCCTGATGGCATCTTAGCAAAGCAGAGCGCACGGAACTCTGAGCGTCCCGAGTCCCAAACAAACATAACAAACGAAAAGACACAGACTAGGTCCTCCAGATTTGAGAGGTTAGAATAAGTTGGTACCCGAGTTTTTCTCTGCGTCTATGTTAATACGGGAACCCTCCCCCAAAAAAGGGGTAAAAGGGCACTACGGGGGGACCTAGCAAATGTTGTTTTTGGCAGCCCTTAAATTGAAGACTCCGAGCCGAAGACGAACAGGAGGAAATTACAGATCGCCAACTCTTTTGAAGCAGAAAAATGGCTTCCCATGTTTTGTATGAAAGACACCGCAAGAAAACAAGCGTGCCTTCACGAGCAAAAGAATTTTGGCGAGCTGTCTTCTTCTTTGGACTCTCTTTACCGGGCGCAAACTGGCGGGTCTGGGGAAATTTAAACAATTCCCCCATTCCCTCGTGGTTTCCCTTTGGGTGCGTGGAAAAAAAAACGAGCGCCATTTAGCACCCAGCTTGAAACGGTTGAACTGTGCAACTGGAGACAAACTAGGTCCTCCAGTAGAGAGGTTAGAATAAGGGAGCCTTGCTTCCCTAGTTTGCTGTTGTAGAATAAGGGAACCCTCCCCCAAAAAAGGGGAGAGAAGGGCACTACTGGGGGACCTGTTCCTGACTCTCCGAGAGCCATCCCACGCCTCCAAGCATCTTGACCGGCGCGGAGAGCAAATCTTTGGGAAGCGCGGAGAGCTTTCTGCGCTCGCTACGAGCAGCACTTTGGAACACAACTCTTCGCACTCGGCCCGACGTCCAAGTTCAACTCGTTCTCGCTAATTCCGCCACATGGTGGGAAAAAAACAGTCCGTGTGATGCCAAAGTCGGATTCCCAGGACTACATCAACTAAGGCATTCAGGTAAGCCAACCACCTGGATAGCACGTCGGCGGCAAAGATGCTGCAATTGCTTGGGGCTGATGCTTCCCTCGCTTCCTGAGTTTATTGTCCAAAAAAATGCAAAACTTTTTGTTTACCACCAAATTGTCTTCCCAAAAAGTATAAAGTCCATGAACTCAGGGAGTGAGTTCCTTCTCCAAACAACCACGTGTAGATTCAAGCCCGTGCCCAAGAAAAACAAAGCTTCCTCCAGAAAGGACTTGTTGGGGTTCCAGGGGAACGCTGGGAGAAAAACATGGCAAGACAATTTCGGGGCCTGAGCCAGAGCCGGAGCGTGCTGCATACACCAAACATGCGCAAGCAAAGGCTAAGAATGAGAGCGTATGTCTTAGAATCGGAGCATCCCCAAAATGGCTTGCTTTCCTGTTGGTTTCCCTAACTCAAAAAACTACGCTTTAAAAAGAAACCAAAAGCCAACCGTGAACCAGCGATCGGACCTCTCGCAGTTGGAGTGTGTTGGCCAAACGTTTTCGGCCCGTCTCGAGTCCAACTATTGGCCGGGATCTGCCAAACGGGAACCGCTCTGATTTCCAAGGTGATTTAATCAAGCCGCGCCAATGAAGTGCAATGACCACTACAAGGTCCTCCAGTAAGAATAAGGGTACCCTATTTGTTCTGTAGTCTATTTTAGTAGGGGAACCCTCCCCCAAAAAAGGAAGAGAGCTACTGGGGGGACCTAGGCTACATCAGCCGCCATTGATGGACTTATCTTCAAAGACTCTTCCCGACCAACATGGTGCTTTCGCTGGAGAATCAATAAATAGCCAATCTCGTTTCATGCGAGATTGAAGCCCTTTCATGGAAGGCTTCGGCAAGCAGGAAACCTACCTAGAGTCTCCATGACCCTTCAAAAAAGAGGTCCATGACCCCATTCTTTAGGGTAATGACCCCCATTTTTAAGGGCTCATGGAGACAGGTACCCATCTTTCTGGTTGCCCCTATGCTCCTTGCCTTTCTCCGATGGGTTCTCCGAAACCGCCGGGCCAGTGGAATCCAAACCCTCGAAAGGTGGACTCTGGAGTGAGTGGCCGTCTGGTCGTGAGATCGAGGCTGGCAACTGGAAAGCTCCCCGGCAAGAAAACAGCGTGGCCCCAGAATGGTTCGGCTTACGCATCGGGGAATGATGTGAGCACGGCTATACCAAGCGCATCTTTTGGTCTGACGATGTCACTTTCAAGGGGCCCCGTTGTTCTTGTGGCATGGAGGGCTCTCCAGGCAGAAGTGGAGATCCATGCTCTGATTTGGGCCAACCCCTCCCTTAAACATGTTCAAACCGCCATTGATTGAACAGCCCCAAGAGGGCTGTTCAGCGTTCCTTTCAAGCGAGGTCCTGGTGGTTTTGTGTTTGTTGGTACTCTTTCTTGCGAATTGAAATGCAAAGCAGAAGGACAACCTGGGTAGATACAATGCAAACTAAAAGGACAACCTGGGTCCAGATCCCTTTGCCTCACGCCCTATTCCCAAGGACGGGCTTCCCCACGACGCTGGGTCCTTGCCTCAGAACTCTGTTGAACGATACGGTGGCTGCCACAAAACCATTGGACATACAGCACCTTAGTGGGACATGTGCTTCGTGCTAGTTCGCATCTGAGACAGCAATGCGAGCGCTGAAATAAGAATTGCAGGGCCAGTCAGAAACTTGGGACATGAGTACTGTGCAGTTTGACAGTTTGGGCGGGGTGTCACGCAGTTTGACAGTCTGCCTTCCCAGGGAGGGGTGCGAGGTGGGTTTTCTAGGCCCGGCCCTGCAGTAGAGAGGTTAGAATATCTGTCATCTACTTTGGTAGGGGAACCCTCCCCCAAAAAAGGGTAAGAGGACACTAGGACACTACTGAAAAACCTAGAAGCCCAACGAACCTTCCAAGCGCCTGACGCGGGGCCTTGCCTCCGGGCAAGTCATCCTGCCATGTAACCGCCAGGCCCAGGAAAAGACTTAACTTAGGCCTTTAGTAGTCATGGTTATAACCCGCTTGTGGCAATATCCCCAAAAGGGGAGCACCAGTGCTTGTAACGGGCTCCCAGCCAGGGACCTAACTTAGGCGGTTGGTAGTCATGGTTGTGATCCATCCGCCCAGTGGAGTACCAGCACGAGTAACCACTTAGCTAATTTCCAGACCATCTAAGTGGTGGTGAGGACTGGATGGTTTGACCAGACCTGTATGCTTCAGCTGTATTTGAAAGCCCCAGGCCCATCCGCACTTTGCCTTTTGGTTGATTCCCTTGTTTGGAGTCAAGGGCTGCCCCCTCCCAGAGAGTTTCTTCATCCTTGGGGCGGAGCGGGGGGGGGGGGGGGATTTATGCCTTCAAAGATGGAAGCGTGCAACCCCGCTCCGGAAACTAGGGATCCTAACGTTATACACATGATCATTGCCTTGTAAATGGTGGTTTCCCTTTATTTTGGTGGAAAAAGCCATGTTTCAAATGGGCAAAATGTATCGTTTAAGGAGCCCTGAAAAACTATACTTCTCTTTTGGAAAGAGGCCGACCAGTGCAGTCCCACACTTGGCGAATCCTGAGTTGAAATGCAAACCCTGACCCAGTGCTCCAAGGACCGTATCACAAGAGCGGAAACATAAGCGTGGTTTGTTTGAGAACACCTTTTTTACGAGTTCCTTATTTTAGGGCAAACCCACATAGTCCCTGCTTTGGTCGTGAGGTTCGGAGCAACCCCTTGATGGATGCACAACCAAAGCCAGTTCAGCTCGCCAAGCCCATTCCACACCTCCATTTGGTTAAGACCCTTGGAAACAATAAACATATTTCCAGTAGTGATAGATTCCCTTTAACACCAACAGGCGAAAATACAAAATAGTCTTCAGCAAATGGAAGGAGAGCCAATCCTTGTTGTAGGACACGCTCTTGTCCGCCAGGTCCGACTCTGATATGGCCAGGTAGTACCTGAGTCACGCGTGTACCGAAGCGGAAAGGCCGAGAGGCCGAGAGGCCGAGAGGCCGAGAGGCTCAGAGACGGTATGTGATGGGTGTGTCATGTTTGGTGGGTACCCGTTAAATCAGAAAGCATTTCTTGGGTTCCCCATGTTGACATAGCTAGAAGGAGCCAAGTCTCAGTAGTGGAAGCATCCTGGGTTGGTGGGACACGCCAGGGCAAACATATCTTCCAGGTGAATTTCCTGATGCAGCCTCGTCTTGAGTAGGCTATGGCTTTTGGCAAAAGAACATGTGTGAAAATAGGGACTTGGACCCTCAAGAAGAGCTACCCATTTATGCTAACAATTCCCCATTGGTCAGGAAAATCCTCTCACCAAGTTGCGTGTCAGTTAAAGCAACATCACCAAGTGACAAGAAGGATCCCAGTGAACCGAAGCCTCATTCTGGATGAGATCGTTAACTGGCAAATCTTGCGGAATCCATCACACAGCAAGAAATCCAAGAACATATGAGCAGTTTTTTTGGTGGTTCGGGCCCTAAGCGCTGCATGCACGCCTACGCGAAGGCCTACGCAAGCCTACGCGGCCTGCAAGGGGTGCCTACGCGAGCACGAGTCAGCTTCCAGGTGCCTATGCGGATGCCTACGCGGGCAAATGTTGAGTTCAAGTGTCGAAGTGCACTGTGGCAGCTCCAGCTGCAAAATCGCAACTTTTCAGTACAAGTGCAGTTTTGGCAGCTCCGGCTCTAAGATCAGAGATGCAGTACAAGTGAGAATCCCACATCTGTCCAGGGATCTGGCTGCTAGAACAGGCTTAAGTACCCAAAATGCCTTGAAAGCCTACACGAATGCTTCGCGGGGCCTACGCGAAGACTGCAGAACAAAAAGAAGGAAGGCAAAAGAAGCAAATTCCTTCATACGTGGCAAACAGTCATGATTTGTTCAACAAACGCCTACGCGAGAAGCCTACGCGAGGGGTGACACAACAGCCTACGCGCTGAAGCCTACGCGAGCCTACGCCCCCAGCCAGGATTGCCTCCGCAAAATACATGCAGTTCCCTTTTTGTATAAACCCTTTCATTTGATTAAAAACCGCTGCTCATATGCAACCCGGCCTCCCGGCGGATGTCTTCAAACCCGTGCTCTCGTGTCTCAGCCCTTCCGTTTCGCCACTTGCCCGCTACCTACTTAGCCTCTCAGGGCCAGGCCCGCTGCCCAAATGCCGCAGCAGCACCGGACTGGCGGCTCTGGTTGCTTCTTCGGCCCCTCCGCAAAAGGGTTTGACTGGGTCAAAAGGAAAGAATCCGCAAAGTTTCAGCCAACAAGTTGAAGTCCAAAGATCCGCTACCAAATGCTGTAGCCAAAAAGTGAATCGTGGCTGTGGGGAAACAGCATGTCTGAGTGGGAACAGGACATCCGCAAACTACCCTCTGAATTCAATGAAAGCTTGAGAAACCTGCAAAAAACAATCATTTGATGGGCCCAACTGCTTGCAAACAGCGGTTTTCCAAAAAGGCCGCCCACTCGCAGCCGACCTTGAATTTCTAGCAACAGACCCCTGTTCTTGTCAAAAACGGCTCTTCCAAAACAAGCGCAGCTGCTTGGAGAATGGAGCCCTGTCTGTTGGCTGGACTTATCCTGCAAGGTTGAGAGGAAGGCTGCAACTTCTGTGGATGGACGAAATCTGTTCGCACCAACTTGAGGCCATGGTTGAAACCGCTGGTTGCTTGGTATTTTACAGGGGAATCATCAAAAACCAGGGATTCTTAGGTGGTGCGATGTCTGGATCTCGCAACCATCCGCAGCATGCCGTATGAGTTGAGTCTGGCAAGGCTCAAGCGCGGCAGCTCAGCGTGACGCTGTACTCGATGCCTGTGTCCTAGCGCAGTGCAGCGGCTATATACTTCCATGTGCGTGTTCGCCCCCTGGAAAAACTGTTTCTTTAATCTCCAGTGGTGATAGATTCCCGTGAACACCAACAAGGGATTTGTTTACATATACTTAAGCAAGGCCCCCACCCCACACAGCCCCTTTCAGAGTGCAGTTGGCCCAGGTAACATTAATTAAGCAGCCCAACCCTGTCCAACTCCCGGTCCACCTCCCCCCAAACCCCCAAAACAACAAGACCAGGGTCAGCCGTGACGACTCTTTCAATACCCACAAGGACAATAATAAATCATGTATAAATCAGCTTCTCAATGACTACATCAACTCGCCAAGGGAAACCATGGGAATTATAGACCTATCCAATAATTTGGGGGAGGCTGCATGCCACATCTGACTCGCCCAAGTGGAGCCTTTTTGCAGCCAAACCAACACAAAAGGTCACTTAATGACACGGTGCCTTTTGCATTTGATGGTCGCATGATTTCTTCCGAATTCCATTTCCCCTGGAAAAATATTCCTGTAGTGATGGATTCCCTTTACAGCGGAAAAAGTATTCATTTCAGCAAATGGAAGATTATGGGACCATGCTTGGAAGCGTTGCCACTGGCAAGGGGATGCCAGGAAGTTCCATGGACAGAAGCAAATGCAGCACACTCCTTCAAGAACTCGTGGTTCGCAGGCTCGATCACCCACACGTCCTGCCGGAAACCAGCAAAATGGTTTCAACAAACAAAACGTAGATGAAACCACGTCCCCAGCCGGTAGGAAAGGTTCGTATGCAACATTTGCAGTTGTTGATGTCCCTCTGGATCCTTTGAACTCCCACAGCCTTCCAAAATACACGGGGCTAAACGCAACGCACCTGACCGTGCTCCGTTCAGCCAACATCTCTACTCTTGGTATGGTAGCAAAAAACTTTTTTTTTGCAGACCCCCAGTAAAAATGAACAGAACCAAAAAACTAAAAAAACCAAAAACATGCCAGGAACAGCGAAGGCCAATATTCGGAAGTCTTTAAAGTTCTGTGTTTGTCGGAGGGAACGTCCTTGAAGTTGGCATCGTGCCAACAACCACCTATTGATCTCTGTCTGGAGGAACCCCTTTTTTTGGACGGCTTGTTGGATATGTTGTGTCCTTTTATTTTTTGCGGGGCGTCCATGTCTCGTGCCTTGGCACAAAACTCTTTGCTCTTGATGCTCTCGTCTCGGATGCTGCGCATGTAGACGGTCTTCTTCCTTGCACAAGCCCCCACACGTCAACTTCGGAACCTGGCGCTGATTAGCTCAGAGTGAAATTATCGCTGCATAACCTGTTGTTGGCAGCTAAGGGTAAGGCAAAGCAAGGCAAACATAGTTTGGGCTGCTTGAAAAGATAAAGCAACAACACAAACTGCCGCATACAAGCACAACATCCGAGTAAAATGCTGGACAGCACAATGCTTATCTTGTTCCATAGTCCCAGCCTCCTACAGGAAAGGTAAGACACTTCTCAGGGGTCCCCATTGATTGAAGGGGATGCTTCTTTCCAGAACACCGCCCAAGCCTTACGGAAAACGCCAGGTTCAAAAAAACAGCTGGACCAGAACGGCTGGAATCTCGGACAACGCCTGGTTGCAAGAAAAACGGACAGCCTCTAGGAATATGGGCCATCAGCCCTGAGCCAATCGATTCCTTGATGGGCCCCGGGCTCCAGGGCACAGCTCGCCGCCACGCAGCCTGCAGGACCAACAAAACACACGTGGAAACTACCCAAAGCCTGCTTTTGGAGGTAGGGCTTTTGGAGGTGTGGAGTTGTTGTTTTCCCGTTGTATGGCTAAAAAGTCTGGGGTATGGAGGTTGCGTTGATATATTTTAAAGGTATGGAGGGTACAACTTCAAGGGGTATGTACTGACTTACGAGCTGTTGTGCGTGGTCTATAAGCATCTAGACCTCCAAAAAACCGTACCTGGAAATGAAATAACAGGGGCCATCCCATAAGCCAAGGATAAGCCACGGATCGCTTTGTTAGGGGGTTTAACTTGCTGGCGCGATAGGTAGGAACTCTCCCCAAAAAACGGGTAAAAGGGCACTGCTGGGGAACTTATTTAGAGGGGGCCGTTCCATGTCTCATTCCTGCCTATCGAACCAGCGAGTTACGGAGAGCTGCGCCTTCCGATAGCCAGTCCACAGAAACCCGCAACGATCAAGCGATCAACATGGCCCTTCCCCTGCAATGACCACATGCCCAACCGCTTTGAATCAGCTCTTAAGGGCGGCGGCCCAGCCGCAGGCATACCAAGTTTTTTTGTGGCCTATTGCTATTTTCAATGTTCTTGTAGCCCTAAGGCTCATTCAGTCTGGCACAGGAAGCTTCAGATTTTGAAGACAGATTCTCAAGGACCAAAACGCCAATGGCTCAAGCCAGACTAGCACCGCAGCATTGAAACGCTTGGATTTGCAAGGCCTTTCTGGTTGAACTGTTTGAGGCGATGGGGCCAGGGTAGGGCGTGGAAGGAAAACACAAAGGCCTACCAATGCTCTACCTTTTGGTTAGGTCCCTTGAGGGCCGGAGTAATCTTGTATATACATATATATATATATACCGTATGTATATAGATATATAGATAGGTGCGTCGTAAACCGGGTCCCCCCGAAAAAGGTGGCTTCGCTTTCAAGTTCCCGCTAAAACCAACCCAAACAGGAGCCCTCGATAAAGATGCGCCAAGTCGTCTTGTTTGTTTTTCCTCTGCACCTTCTTTGATGCACAAACTCTTCTTTTGTTTTCCAGGCGGGTTCAATGTCACGGCGCAGGCAAGATACACACCAAAAACCTGCATGACGCACATACACGCACACACACACACACACACATTGCAAGATGGAAATCCGGGTGGCCCCCAGTAGAGAATATGACCTTCACCATTCCAGAGCTAGCTTCCCATTCTTTCCAGGCATTCCTACTGAAAGCCGGACGTTATGCGAACCAGCAGTTTGTTCAAAAGGAAAAGACGGGGGGAAGACCTATCCTAACTCTTCCAGCTAGAGAAGGAGGAGTTTGGTGGGCAACTTCCCTTTACCCACAGGTGGAGCTCATGATGGTTCGGTTCTGGAATAAAACTAGGTCCTCCAGTACATAGGTTAGAATAAGGGTACCCTTGTTTCTGTAGTCTGGAAGAGTAGGAGAACCCTCCCCCCGCAAAAAAAATGTGAAAGGGGAACCTGGAAAACTTTCAGTGATGCTGATGTGTTTCCCCCTATAACAACTTCGTCACTTTCAAGGCGCTCCAATGGCACAAAAAGTGGCAATCTCATAGCCCGTGTTCAATCAAAGCTGACAAGCTGCCCAGCTCCTGAAAACGTGTTCGAACTTTCAACTTTGGACCCTGGTCCGAACGCGCTGCCGAAGGTGCTGCCGGGGGGGTGCCCAAAGCGCCCCTGACAAGTCCGGCCTTTGCGATGAGGACTGTACATCCTCAGCTCTACGAGAACATGTCTAGCCTTTGGCTGAGATGCTCCCGGACATAGCTAAATGGTTGGTACCCATGGCTGTACCAGCCGTAAGTGGGTTAAGAGCAAACTAGACCAACTAAGTACTCACGCAGAACCAAAAGACTTGGACAAACAACAGGGTCAAAGTAGATGGCACAATCCCCTGTATGTGGGTAAGTAACAAGACCCATGCTCCTTCACCACTTCACTCAGTACCTTGTTTTTTTAAGTACCACCACAGCCCCCACAGCATGACTTGGCCAAGGGCCAGCCAAAAAACGGCGTACACATCTTGGGTCATCACCAAACTGCAGGGGCAGCCACCAAGAAAATTTGCGCATAGCTGGCCGTATTTGGGGTTCTCCCAACACAGGGGACCTCCACAAACTGTAGCTTTTCCTTGCGACTGTTCTTTTACTTGCTGATTCTCAGCAGGGAATGAGGGAATGATCACTATAAACCATCCCCCAGGGTCACTCCCGACTGAACACGAGCAAGTTTAAACTAGCTCCAAAAATGGAAACACCTATCTGGCCTTACCCAGAGGGTCCAGGTACCTCATATTGTCGCGGATTTGAGGGCTGTAATTGACGAAGCCCCGAACAAACCAAACCCCAAAAACGCAAATATGGGGTACCAAGGCACCGTCTGGGTAAGTGGGTCCCCCGAAAAAGACACATCCATATGGGTGTTTCTCAAAACACTCCCGTAGAAACTATCGGAAGGAACCCAAAACAAACAGACCCATATATATTGTGGCTCAGGACCATCTGGCCCTAGGCTTCACACGTCTAGGCTGGAACTAGGACCCCAGCAACAACAAATATCTTTTTTGGTGAGTGGAAATCGAAGGCACCCAAAAAAGGCCCCCCCCAAAAAAGAGCCAAGTCTGGGGAAGATGTACCCCCCTTGGGACCCGGGTCGATCAGCTCTCAGCTCCCGACCGCAGCGGCAGCCCGAAGGACAGCGCGAAGCTGGAGCCTACGGAGCGCGGTGCATGGCTCCTTCGCCTTCCAAGTTTGGTGTGGTTTGGATCCTTTCCCATGGTTTCAAAAGGGGTTCTGGTTTCTGGTTTCAAAAGGGGTGATGATTTGGTTTGGTGATTTCCAGAAACATGGCTCCTTCTTTTCGCCTTACCCACTGACCCGCTCTCCTGCGGGTTAGAGGCCGAACAAGGCATCCCATGGTATACCTGTACCCCATGTATCCCTTCAGCTTCCCTCTAATTGGTGGTTTGGTTTGGTGGTTTGGATGTTAAGGCTTACCGGTGGCAGAAGAGCCGATTCCAGAAACCATGGCCAGGAACTGAACTTGAGGATCCCTTGAAAGGACAAGTTGGACTACCAGTTGAACTTACATTCTTCGGCCTAATTGGTGGTTTGGTGGTTTGGATGTTAGGGGTACCCATCTGGTTTCAAAAGGTACTGGGGTTCAAAGGTTGAAATACTTATTTTTGCTGGTTCTCAGGAGAATCTTGGAACCAAACTGAGCACTCCAATTGGCAGTCCTATCAAGGGATACCCAAGTTCAGTTCCCAAAGCCCCCCGCTCTTTTGCTACCCCGAAGAATGGTTGGCAGCTTTGAAAAGTGACCCAACTCCCGGTGGGTGGTTTCTGGCCATGTTTTCCGGAAAGCGGCTCTTTTAGGTCCCGCAGTAGAGAGGTTGAAAATAAGGGTACCAACCTTATTATTCTGTAGAAACTATTTTAGTAGGGGAACCCTCCCAACCAAAAAAAACAACAGGTACAAGGGCACCAATTGCTGGGGGACCTAGTCATGGTTCTGGTAAAAATACAAAAAACTTTCAGTGATGATTTGTTTCCCCCGAAAAAGAACTTCGTCACTTTCCAGGGGCTCCGATGGCTTCTGCCCCGGCCGCCGCTCGAAGCGCGCGACGGCCGCGACCCGAGGCTTCGGCTCTTGACCGCCACGGGCACCGCGCGACTGTAGAGCCTCAGGCTGGCTAGCCGTAGGGAGCGAGCCGCCTTCCGCGGTTTGGTGGCTAGGTCCTCCAGATTTGAAAGCTTAGAATAAGTTGGTACCAGTTGTTTTTGTTTTTGTTTTGTTGTTGTTTTTTCCTGTATTTTTTTTTAGTAGGGGAATCCTCCCCCAAAGAGTTGGTGCAAGGGCAGTACTGGGGGACCTAGGTGGAATCCGAACCGAATTGCGATGTCCACCATGTCGGGGGCCCCCGAATAAAAGTCACTCCGCTGCCGCTCAGAAGTCTTGGCTGAAGTAGGGGATGAATCTCGGAGTGACGGCACCAAACCTCCTTGGCCCGTCTCCGAATGGTACTTGGGGTTCGATTGACTCAGGGCCGAAGGCTCACTGGTATAGGTTTATGGGTGTTTGTTCCCTTCTTATTCGTGCATTCAAAGTCCCACAAAGCCCACGGCTGCCAAATGCTTCCTTTGGGTCACTTGGGGCCTACTTGGGTTGCGTCTCTGGAGAATAACACCTGGGAGGCCTTCCTTTGGTTTCACTTCAAGCCAGCCGCAACTAACCCCCAGGCGAATACAACCAAGAAATCCCGAGAGTTCACCTCCCCACATGTTCAGTGTTCAAAAACAAAGACTGGGCTGGTCAAAAATAGAGCGTCGGCCAATCCCAATCAACAAACCCCACTGGACAATCGCTACAAAGGGGACCCAACCCTTGCGTAGCCCAAGGTAAGGATTAAGGATTGAAATTGAGCAGCGCAGCCGGAAGGGACCCGGCCCTCCCGATTTTTTAGAACACTATGTTTCGACCTGTCCACATCCATGGTTGTTGGAAAGAGGCGTCCATTTGAATTTGGTTAAGACCCCTGGAAGAAATAGAAATATTTCCAGTAGTGATAGGTTCCTTTTAAAACCAACAGGGGGAAATAAAAACAATTATTAGGCAAATGGAATGAGGTTAAACCAACTCAAACAAAACACCCTCGCCGCGTTTGTCCGCATCTCGCGGCGCAGGTCGAGCGCGAATTCCAGGAACTGCTCGCGGCGAACGCCCAGCAGCTGGCAGAACTGGAAATCCTGAGGGTCAAAAGTCGGTGCCTTCAAGTAAGAAACCCACCAGGAAAGCTCACGGAACGACCGCCATCATTGGAAACTAGCCGTGGGTGGGTGGTGGTTGGGTGGGTGGGTGGGTGGGTGGTTGCTTTTGAGGGTAGCTAGACTCTCCATGACGTCAGAAGAAACTAACGGAACGAAACAGGACAGCCGACTACCCCTCCCCATTTTGGTTCTTATAGTACGAGGTCCTCCAGTAGAGGGGTTAGAATAAGCTTGAGTGCTGTAGCTCCCCAGCAAAAAGTTGTTTACTTTGTTGCTGGTTTTAGGGGAATCCAAAAAGTTGAAGTCCAGAGATCCGATGGCAGTAGAATAAGGGTACCAACTTCTTTCTGTAGTCTATTTTAGTAGGGGAACCCTCCCCAAAAGAGGGGTAACAGGGCACTACAAGGGCCCTAGACTTGAAACCCGCTCTATCCAGACATGTGGGCTGCCCGTTTGCGGATCCCCTGCAAACAGTGATGTACTCTTCGTGGGTTAAATCAAATTCAGAAACTACCACCAAACCAATTCAAAGAACCGGATGGCTGGAAGCCACCAAGGTACGGGAAAGCTATACCAAGTTTTGACTTGTCAGGTGTGGCACCCCATGTCGCTAGGGGCCCTAGGGGCCGATTTGCTGTCGGCCGTGGGGCATCGGCCGCCGCGTGGACGCGCAATGGCAGGCGCGTCTTCAGGTGTTGGAGGAACCGCCCCCTGGGGTAGATCCGAGCCTCAAGGGAATACCTCGGGACGGTGCGGCGGTTTGGACATGGCCTGAAAAGACCCAGCCCAATTCGGGCTAGCCAATTCCAGGCATTCCATCCCCGTTGTTGTGTAGGCTCTGGGAGTCCCATCCTATACTCATTGCGACCAACGATTCAGGCAGTCGAGACACCCAAGCACATCCACATTCTCGGCCAGCTCTTTGGGGCCGTACCCGCACTCATCAAGCAAGTACCTCGCCTAAGATGTGCGCTGGGCGCGCGGAAAAGAACTTGTGGCTTGGCCCAAGGCTTCGAACTACTTGGGCGACTTGGGGTGTTTTGACAGCTCCAGATTTGACCCAAGCGTCGGAGTAACCACCCTGGCTTTCGGCAAAAAGTGGGGCGACATCTCCTCCAAAATCCTCACCCATGGCTCAAGTTTCAGGCGCCCCTCCATTGTCAAAGGCTAGTGGAACTAAATACTCCCTGCTTTCCTGCATCGGCATTCTGGTACGCACATATCGCCGGTGCTTGTCATCTCCACATCTTTACGGCTACCAAGACCTTTTCAATCGCCAGGCCTTCCGACCAGCTTCTGTTTCTCAATCTGCACTCGTATAATGCACGAACCTCCCATTAAAATTGCCCGAGCGAGCAACCTTCATCATGGGTGAGCTCGTGCTCGTCCCAGGTAAGCTCTTGGCTTGTTTGTGCAGCCCAATGCATCCCAGACCTTTTGTAAGCCTTCAGGCCATGGAGTGGCTTTGGGTCCCTGCATTAGGTCGTGAAACCCGTATGCTTCCAACAATTCCTGACCAAAGAGAAGCTCAAAAGTCAGATGAGCAGCGGTTTTTTGGTAATTCGAGGCCTATACACTAACTTGCATGCCCACGCGAAGGCCTACACAAGCCTGCGAGGTGTGCCTACGCGAGCACAAGTCAGCTTCCAGGCGCCTACGCGGATGCCTACGCGGGCAAAAGTTTTCAAGCGTGTGGAAGTGCACTGTGGCAGCTCCAGCTGGAAAATTGCAACTTTTCAGTACAAGTGCAGTTTTGGCAGCTCCGGCTCTAGGATCAGAAACGCAGTACAAGTGAGAATCCCACATCTGTCCAAGGATCTGGCTGCTTGAAAATGTCTACGTACCCAAAATGCCTTGAAAGCCTACGCGAATGCCTACGCGGGGCCTACGCGGAGCCTACGCGAAGGCTGCAGAACAAACAGAAGAAAGGCAAAAGAAGCAAATTGCTTCATACTTGGCAAACAGCACTGAGTCATGATTTGTTCAACAAACGCCTGCGCGAAAAGCCTACGCGAGGGGTGACACAACAGCCTATGTGCTGAAGCCTACGCGAGCCTACGCCCCCAACCAGGATTGCCTCCGCAACGCAAAGTACATGCTGTTCCCTTTTTGTGTAAACCCTTTCATTTGATTTTAGAAGAAAAAAAAACGCTACTCAGATGGGATGGGGAGGCAGAACCACAGGGGTCACTGGATTTCCCTTTCAAAGATGCAGTTTACACTCCAATTGCCACTTTAGGTTCAACAACTTGCTGGCGCTCAGCAGTCAATGAGAGAAGGACCCCGATAAGCCATCCCCTATGGTTTCCTTTCAGGGAATCCCCAGCTTCATACCATTTCTCCTTCCCTCTGATCACCCGCACAAAAAAGGGGGGGAAATGGGGGAGGCGCTTCACCACTTCCCCCTTTCAAAGGTTGCAGTTCACTTGTGGGTTCCACTCAAACTGCCACTTTTGGAGCTTCAAAAATTGGAGGATCATGGCAGAGAACGGACTGCGTTATTTGATCAGTGTCCTTGTTTTGTTTTGGCTTTGCGGCCGAGGCCACGGTGGGCTCCAGGACTTTGTGGGCCTCCGGCCAGGCGTAGAAGCCACGGCAGGCCGCGCACTTGGGGTCCACGCCCAAGGACCGCCTCGAAGGCAAAGGCCGCGCGAGAAAAGGCCAAGGGCGCGCGAAAAGCAAAGGGCTTTAAACCCTACGTACCAATAAACATGGAACCCGAAAAAAATAGAGGAAAGTTTGGTTGGGAAATCAAGAAAAACACAAACAAACAAAAAACTACACCATAGAAGAAAGTCCGGTTGGGAAATGGAGCCCTTTCTGACTCTGTTTCAAAAGTATCGTCTACCCAGCTTGCTGGGGCAAAAAGCTGAAGAGGCCGAAGTAATCCCCTCAAAAAGCTGAACAGGTTGCGGGCGCCGAGCTAGGGCTGCATGTTTGGGATCAAATTGTGGGGGTCCTGGGGTCCAAAAAAGTGAAGGAACGGCGATAGATAGACTACTATAGGTAGACAGCTAGATACAGAACAAATAGATCAGCAGGCAGGTAGACAGGTAGAGAAAAAGGGGTAACACACACCAAGAGGCTGAGGAATCACCTAGCCCTGGGATCAATTTCTGGGGGCCCCTTGGGCCCGGGTCATTTTCCCAAGCCGAGCGGCAGGAAGGAGACCAGCGGCGCCAGCTGTTGCTCCACGTTGCGACAGCCCAGCAGCAGCATGGGAAACCGCTCCGCCACCTGAAACGCCATGCCGCAGAAAAACACGCAGGCCCTACACCCTGCAAACAGCCGTCAAAAGGCTGTTTGAGCAATATATTTGTAGATATACATAGAGAGATAGATATATAGGGCTATAAATTTGAATAGGGAACCCCTCAAACTGTGGGTAAGAAGAAGTCAAAAGAATGTTGTTTCAGCAATGTGGCCATCAAAAAGTGGTTGGTGGATATAAATCCCAACTTAAATGTCCACCAAAAGCCGGATCCAGTGAAGCACCTTCTTTCCAGAGGTGGGCCGACAGGATTGGAAGACAATCAGCCAGGTGAGTTATGTGTATTCAATTATTTCCCAACCCAGAAAGGACGAGACGCGAAAGCAGACCTATGGCATTTCAGCCTTTGGAGCTGACCGACCCTGAATCAGAGCTTTGTGTTTACTCCTTACAAACCTCTTCGGGGTTTACGAGTTTCAAACGCGCCTATACGCCATAGGGAACTTCAAGATGCAACCCTAGGGTTCCGATCCGATGTGTTACATCTGGCCCCGCAAGACAGAATCTCGAGTGAGGTCACCCACTCTGGGTATTCTGCCACCACCGTAATAATCTGGCTGGAAAGACGCCGTAGGGTTCCCGAACAAAGTTCATATAAAAAACACGGGGCCGGATTCGGTTTGGGAGCATCCTGGGCCATGCTTGGCATCCGAGCAGAGTCAACACGCACCAAACAGATCAAGGCTGCAGCTTAGGTGTGACCACAAGTTTGCGCCCTTTGGCACTGAGCCAGGCAGCTTGGAAAAAAAAAACGCCAGACCAACTCAGAGAAACCAGCTACAATTACTAAACACCAGCCACGCGCAGCCTGCGCGGCTCGGAGCCTCAAAACAGTGCAAAAAGGTCTCAACACCACTCTCCAATTCCCTGCTTGAAATTCAAGCTGAATCACTGAAGGCCTGTTTGCTTCCAGTCGCAGCTGTCCAAGCCCCCTAAACAAGATATGACACTTGGCAGCCATGAGTTCTAGATAACAAAAGTGCAACTTTGAAACCACTAAGCAAAAAAAATCAAAGCGGCGTCCTTCAGCCAATCTGAACTTGAGCCCTTCTGAACCGCAAACTGGCGCACGCCTCTCCCACCTGCTCCCTGCTCATCCCTGGGCCGCTCCTAGGCTTGGAGAGCGCGGCAAGCGCTCGTTTGGCATGCGTGGAAACACTTGCAAGGTGGTTAATCAGCTTCCCTCTGATTGGTGGTTTGGATTTGTGGTGTGGCGGGGCGGCTAGGAACTTCCCACTTGCCCTCCACAAAAGCCAGGGGTTCAAACCGGGCTCCAAACCACTGCAGAGGGTTACAAGAGTTAAGACATTCCTCCAATGAAATCTGGAGTGATGCCGCCAAGCCCCCAATCCAAATCGCCTTAGCGGGAGCGTTTAGAAGCCTTACCCAGCCCCTGGCCCTTTGGTTTCTCTGGCTGCTCAGCGGCGGCTCATCCTGGAGGAAGCCCAAAATGTTCCGAACCTTCCGGCCAAGGACAAGCACCAAGCACCCCAATCGCCACCCAATCGCCGCCCAATGGTTATGTCCCTAAGTTTTATGCTTCCCTGCGGGAGCAGCATGTGCTCCAAAGAATCCTTCTGAACTCATCAGTTTGGGATTGCTGCAGCTTATGCAAATGTCCCAGGGCTTAGCCAAGTGGTCCGGCATGGACATAGCCAACTTTCTATGGTCGGTCCCTTTCCGTGGATTGGCATGAGCTACTAACCATTTAAGTCCAGTAATGCAGATTCGCCCCCACGGTTGTGGAAAGTTGCTTTTGAGGGCCTCTCCCTGTGATGTCATACCAAGCCAACCCCCTGTAAAGTGTAGAAATAGTCACGGCATGACGCGCCTTGGTCACACAACAAAAAGGGATTTACCCCCGTAAAGTGTAGAAACAGTTGCGGGCATGACCCAACAAAAATGTGACTTTCCACAATCATGTGGAGGCCTCCTGAAATGCATGTCTTCGCCCTTTGCCTGCTGAGCCTTGCAGAGGAGAAGCCGCGGCGATCGCTGCACCACCTCGAACGAGTCGAAGCGACCCTCCCCAAAAAAAGGGTAAGAGGGCACTATGGCGGAACCTAGAACTGATCCCCGGCTAGTGAATAACTGTTAGTGGGTTAAATTCGGACACCCCACTAAAAACTAAAAAGCTAAAAGGCTAAGGGGATGGTTGGGATCCACCTAGCAAGATTACCCACTCAAGGGTTGTTTACCTGAGGGGCCATGCGAATTGAACCCATTTTGATCCCCTTCAGAAGCTAGAAGGATGGGAGCCACCAAGTTTCTATCAGGTTGGTACAAAACCCGGCTGGTTTTTGCCCTGTTTGCTCTATTCAGTTTCAGCCTTCCTCACGGCTACGGCTAACACGAAGAGACAACTGGAAAGTTCGACAGCTGAAAGGCTTGGTGTTGTATCATAGAAACCGGCTACAGGAAATTCTACAGGAAGCTAGCCAAATACCCACCAAAATCAGGGGTTTCCAAGATAAATTCCTGTAGTTGGTTTTTTAGATTGCACAAACCGGTGATGGACACCATGCTGCTTGCTTGCAAGCCAATTGCCAATGGCCCTACCAGAAGCCGATCACTTTTTGAGAAGCGAGATGAAAATATGACAGGCGTTGCCGGACTTGGCACGGTGAGTAACAGAGTTGTCCTCTCTCAAGCGAGCAACATTTGGGGTTTGTTGGAAGGTTCAAGGTCCTGACGTTAGAGAGCAACGGAACCGGATGATCCATGTTCAAGAAAAAGCTTAAAGGCCACATCCACCCAACTACTCTGATTTACTTGCCCTTTTGGAGTGGAATCTACCACTAACTTGCCAGATTGCCCATATTTGCTTGCCTCTGTTGCAAAGTTGACCCCGGAAAAATCACGCTGGCGGATCCCCCCCCAAATTGATCCAAATGCCCTGTATGAGGGAAACCCCGCCAATCCACAGTAATCCAGATTCACAAAACAACTTGGGCTGGGGTGGTCTTTCCAACAGCGGGGTCGTAACCCAACCTAAGGGGCCGCACTGCTTTCAGGCAAATGCTCGAACTGGCAGAAATTCCAAAGTCGCAGGATTTCCGTGGCCTTTTTCTCAATATAACGACACATAGAAAATAGCTTCACATCTGTGGGCCAGACGACAGCCAATGGTATGATTACTGCAATAGCTTTGGCTCAAGCCCCATTGTACGGGCATTTCCAAACAATGGTAAGTAATTTTGATCCCATATGCATCAACCCCAGTTTGAGTAACAGGGGGTGGGGGCCACTCCAAAAGTGGTCTGATTCCCACTAAACTCAGGGACACCCCACCATGAATAGACTGGGGTTGGTCGATAGGAACTGCTTCGTGGCAGCTAGTCTTGCTAGATGCGCGTTATTCTAGGAATAATGCGCATCTATAGGACCCCTGAGCATGCCAACTGCTTCCGTAACGCACGTTTTTGAGTGGGGTCCACATGAAGTAGGCTATACCTTGCCGCAACCCTACGATTCCTCCCATTTACCTCGCCGGGGTTTCCGGGGCCCAGCGCGTCGCCCAGCGCTTCGCCGCCGTGCCTTGTCCAGGGACACCTCGTAGTCCGCGAAGACGCGGCCGAGCTCCAGGAGATCTGCCGCCTCCGCCAGCAGCGCCTCACGGATTCGCTGACTCGCCGGGCGTGGCCAAGACTCCGCTCCCAAGGTATTTAGGGCCCTCAAAACACCTCCAGGGTGTCTAACGGAGGGGTCGGGTCTTCCATTGAAAGCCGAAGCCAGGAGCCTCTGGGAAGACCAATGCAGCCACAAGCACCACCCTTCCGGAAAGGGAGAACCCGGCCTTGCCGTAGTCTTCGGGAAACTGGGGAAAAGATGAGTTCGGAGTGATGCATTTTCAGATCAGAACCACTGGTCTTTCCAAGAGTGGTAAGTATTTAGGGAGGGAGGCCCTCATCTTCCCCTGGAAAAAATTAAAGAAAACTATTTCCAGTAGTGACATCGATTCCCTTTAAAACCAACAGGCGAAAAACAACACAAATATTCGTTCTGGAGCAAATGGGAGTTATAGTAGGTCAACAGCTACTTTCATTTTAGTCTTTGGAGCGTGGTTCCCTGGAAAAAATATTCATTTCAGCAACAGGGATCCTTACATGAAAAACACCTGAACATTGCAACTTGCAAATTGTGGTTTCCAACTTTATTTTGGTGTTGAAAAAGCCACATGTTTCAAATGGTTGCAAAACGTGCTAGAGTCTCCTTCTGACCCTTAAACAATGGGTCCACCCCTTAATTTTGGGCAATGACCAACCATTTTTTAAGGGTCAGAAGGAGACTCAGGGTTTCTTTTAAGAAGCCCTGACATGCCGGTCATTCTCAGCGGCTAGGCCGAGCCCGAACTTGTCCGGCCTCCGGGCACTCGCGCATGGTGCGGGAGAACCTGAGCCAAAGCAGGCGCTGGTTTTCCTCCCCCCGCGGCTAAGGGTCGTTTTTTTGTTTTTCCCGGTAGTTTTTCTTTTTGTTTGTTTTCTCCTTGTTTTGCCTTTTTTGGCAAAAACAAAACCCGGCCCTGGCCAGAATGGCACCCCCCCCCAGTTTTTCCCCCCCTTGAATGTGAGCAAAGAACTTTGTGGTTTGCAGCCACCCGCCGAAAAAGCAAAAGGTCAGGTCAGATTGCGGTAAACCGAACCGTCGCCACACGCCTGCGAAACCCGCAGCCGTCAGCTGAGACACGTCTCTTCTGCGAGGAGTTGCTGTAGCACTGCGGCAGAAGCCTGGGAGATCCAAAACAATGTTCGCCAACGTGGAATAAGCAACACTTCAGTGGAAAACAGCCGCCCCCCCAACGCTTGGGAAATCCCCAATTCGGGGTCTGAAAGGGCCCTCAAATAAGCTCCATCCTCCAAATCGCAAAGGCACTTGCAAGAAAACACAAACCGCTTTTTGGGGCTGACATTCTTGTGGGGAACACACAAAACAACAAAACGTGTATGTGTTTTTTTTTTTCTGACCTGTGTGGGGGCGTTTTTCAACCTGCTCCAGGGTCAGGGTGCGTGGGGTCCTTTTTTTTTGACCTGGCCGCGTGTCTTTCTTTGGGACCCTGTGCGGAATGAGAGCCATGGCTTCCTCACCCCAAGGACGGGTGAAAAGCCTGGGGAGAACAGTCCAACTAGGTCCTCCAGTACCAAGGTTAGAACAAGTTGCTACCAACTTTTTTTCCGTAGAACATATTTTAGTAGGGGAACCCTCCCAACCCAAAAAGGGGTGACCTAGCTGGGGGACCTAGTATTCTTAAGCCTTAATGGAAGGACTGCTTTCATGTGGCGCCCCAAAGCAGTAGGTGCATGGGCCAGCCAAGGACGACGGGTAAAGGGGCACCTAGCCTAGGACGGGCAAACTTCGATTTTAGCAGTTAAGTGGTTGGATTTCAACCACTGAACCACAACAAGCAAAATCTGTGCCAACAACAACCATGAACCCTGGGGGGTTCAGACGCCTGGGGACCTAGTCCACGGGCTGACCACGTGGCCCAGGCGCCTTCATGCGCCGCTCCTCCGCCGCCAGCAGCTCGGGGTGGCGCTTCAGCGCCCGACTCAGCGCCTCGCCAGCTTCGATGGGCTCCGAAATGACCCGTCCGAGCGGCCGGGGGGAAAAATCCAACGGATCTCACGTCCTGAGTTTGTTTTGCCCAGAAGAACGTCCAGTGTTTGCTTGGTTGGAAAACACCAAGGATCTCAAAAACGTCCAGAACTTGTTGGTTGCCAGTTTTCGCTTTGGTCTTCTCAACTTGGTTGCTGCGGTTGGTGGCATGAGCTCGTGGCTGCCCTTTGAGCAAAGGCTTGGCCCTGTGAAACCAATTCCATTTGACCCGTGGACCCCTATTTTCATACATGTTCACTAGGGGGTGGGGATCTCACTTCCGGAGATGTGCGAAAAAAAGTCCGGAACGCTTTGGTTGCCACTAAAATGATCTTCCCAACTTGGTTGCTACGACCCCTCTGCAGAAAGTGTTCTAACTTTTGGTGGGGCCAATACAGAAATCCCACCTGTTTCGACTCAAAAGATAAAGTCCAACGATGCAATAAAATAGCCGCTAAGAGTGTTGTTAAACTTCCTTCAACAGGGAACCCTAAAGGCTACATCCAAATCTGGATGTCAAAACGGAATCCGCGAAAGCTGGCAAAGGTGCTGCATTGACTGGCCCAATGAATAGTCTAGACTTACTAGTGCTACTGTGGATGGACGAAATCCCGCACCACTTTGAAACCATGAGCAAAACTGTTTGTTGGTATTTACGGTCTTTTAGGTGGTGCGAAGTGGATTGCGTCCAGCCGCAGTATGTCAAATGGTTTGGTGACCAGCCCTTGGAAGCTCACTTGCCCGAAGGAAATCGAAACAAGAGGTGATCATCTTTTGGAACCTTGACCAAAAGTGGCCCTAACCAGGAAAGCCAAACGGTCCCATGGTTGTCAGGCGCCCTCCCAAAGAAGGGACCCATGCAACCATGCATGGGAAGAGGCCTAAAAGTTGATTCGCCTCTGGCAAGTGAGGCGTGTATCTTTGACCTTGCCTCGCCCTGGCACCACGGGCTGAGGAACTGCAGTACCTGAGCGCGCCGTGAATGGAAGGAACCTCAACCTTGATTGAACATGAAAGATGTCGGGCGCTGAAAAGGGCGTCTGCATTTGTCTATGAATACCCCTTGATTGACTGAACAATGACAAGTATGGGCAATTTAGCCCCCAGTTGAAGGGAAAGGATAGTGGGACCCCAAATTCGGAGGGCTTTGCAAAGGGCATAGTGCATTTAGCAAAACGAAACACCCGAACACATGCCAATAGGTGCAAAAAGATGTGGCCAGTGATCCAGGAATCCGAGCAAGCCCGCTATGAGCTTGACAATGATATCACTGTCTCATCTGGGCAGTGATCAAACCCCAAACGATTCAAGAAAGCTGCATGGAGCGCAGAGATTGAATGTGCATTCCTCCTCTGAGGAAAAGCTACTTAAGCACAAATGAAGCTAGTTTGCATAGCCCTTTGAGGCATCCGCCAAGCAGAATATCAAGAGGACCACGGACACCAACGTATCTGGAACATGGGCTGAATGCACCACGATTCTTTACAAGAGCTGATCAGAACCTCCAGCAAAATTCCATCCTGTTTGTGCGAAAGGGTTTGGAAATGCAGGGAACTGAGCAATCCCAGAGGGTCCAAGTACTTATATTTGCGGATTTGAGGAATCTGTAAATGATAAATCCTCTTGAACCAAACCCAAGACCTCAAATATGGGGTACTTAGACCCTCTGGGAATCATAAGGTCAAATTGCCTTGTGTCCGGGTTGCTCCAAACTTTCACCTGGATGAAGCTAAACGATCGTCAAACATATGGCCCCCGTTCACCCTGGTGCCATCGATATGTGCCACCTTTCTGGGTCTAGCAACAGTGGCACCTAAACATTCATTCTCCACCCTTTTCCTGGGCATTTCGGTTTTCTGGTAGTTTCGGGGCGTTTGGGGCTTTTGCGGCTTGTCGCGGGCGTTTTGCGTGTAATTATGGGTGGGGAAAAACCGTTAAAAGGGACCAATTCTGAAATCGCACGTGCCGATCAACAAAATAGGAGTAATACTAGTTTTTTGGAGACTGCACTCAAAAACAAATGAGATTTAAGGCAAGCAGGTTAAAGACGAGAACTACCAGGAAAATCATGGAGAATGAATCTCCAGGCAGCTCATTTTGAAACAAAAAGCACACCAACTTATTATTCTAACCTTGGGGCTTGGTCATATGGCCAGAGGAGCCATCCTGAAGCAGAACTTTCCCAGGCGATGACTAAACGACGGGGAGTTCATCAAAATCTAAAATGGTCTACCCAAATAAAAATGGAAAGACCCAACGGGGGTGCAATCTTGGGTGGTAGATCCCTCAGCCAACAGTTAAACTGTTTTGCTGGTGAAAAGGAAATATGAAGGGAATCCAAAAAGTTAAAGTTTCAAGATCCAAAACCCAATAGCGGTAGAGCAATTTTCCCCGTAACTTCACCCGCGCTCTGATTGGTTCATCTACTTTGGCCCATTGATCCAAGAGACGTGGGCCGTCTCCGGCCCCTGGAACTTGCGCGCTGCACTCAGCTGCACAGCCTCTGGCAGCCCCATACAACTGGACATGAGGAGAGGTGCCCCCCGACCCCTGGCTGCTGCAACGACCCCTCTGCAAAAAGCTGTCCAACCCAATGGCAATCAAGACAGAATAGCGAACGAAGAAGGAGCTCTTCGCACACAACAGGACCTTCACTTCACCAATCACACACCTGAATTGCTCGGTTTGAAAATCATGGCTACAAGAGAAACCATGCGAAACGGTGGGGCCAACCCCTTGCTGAAGCAGCTTTAAGCAGCCCCTTCTTTGAACAGTTGGTTTCCCAGTAAAGTCCAGGTGTTCAAACCCACTTTGCCTCCTTGTGAAACCCGTCCGGACCCCAATCTCTTCCCCTAGCATCCATGACGTTTGGACGGATTTGCTCCAAAGATCCGAGTCGAAGGGTGGACACTTGGTGACTGAAGGGCCAATGGTCTGCTCGTGGCTCGGCGTGGGGCAGCTTTTCGATGGAGCCAACTCTGTGTGAGCACACCTGCTGCCCAAAATTTGGAACAAGATTCCACTACTTCAGGGTATGCAACCTGTATACTCTGGTTTCAGGATAGTGGTTTTGGAACAGCGGAACGCCTTCGCAAGCGACATTGTGGAACATGAAGTGTTAAGGCTTTATTGTAAAAGCGGTGTCATGTCGGTTCTCTTGGGCGGAAACTTGGTCCCTGAAGCAAACCAAATGATTCGGACTACCTTCTTGGACACACACACACACACATGGTGCTGGAAGTCATTGAGGGATGAGGGAATGAACCCTATCAACTGTCCTTTGTAGTTTCCTTTAGGTGAGCCCCCCTCTGTTTTCGACTCCCAACCCCAAAATGAATTCCCTCCCAGAACCTGCAAAATTTCCAGGTGGCATTTTCTGACTGAGAATTCACTTACCCCATGGCGATTGTTCGAACCAACAACCATCAACACCTTTGGCGCTAACCCACCTCCACAAATATAAATATACCTGTTCAATTTATGTGCTGTGCTCGTGCGCCCCATAGCCCCTGGTGGATTCCTCTCGCAATTCCTGCCTCGGCCTTCGAGCTCATGCGCGGGGCCTAGTAGGGACATCTTCTCATGTGGATCCGTTCAAAAAATACATGCATTTGCGGACTTGCCGGAAGGGCCTGGACACAAAACGTGAACCTTTTGGCACCTTGGCTAACAAATAGGTCAAAAGCCCAACTCGCCTTGGACAAGTTGGTTGCAAATGAAAAAGGCCACAATCGCTGTCGCTGACTTAAAGGACTACGGTGCAAGCAAACATCACCATGAAACCGGTTGATTTAGAGGATCCTCTCGTAAAGCGGGTGGGACCCTGATGAACAAAGTGCAAGGGGTATGTGGACATAGGAAATGCATGATTGGATTGATGTGGGGAATGTGGTGGGCTGGTCAATCAATGTTCAAAATCGTAACCCTGAAAAACACATGCCCTAGCTCCGTACACGATATCCGTTTATTTATCGGGGGTACGCTCCCTTTCATACATTTCTTAAAAAGTAGGATGTGTTCGCTGCACTGCCATGAGGCGGCCAAACCGAGCTTGTGTTGCCAGTCTATTTCAAACCCTGTTGAAACAATCCCTCGAACCCAGCAAGAAAAAACAAAACCATAAACCATCGGGTATCAAATTTTGTCTGTTTGCCTACGGGATACCTTCCCACCTCTTGACAAATATTTGTTCTGTCAAGGGGGCTTTCTGGTGGGTTCCATGTTACTTGGCCCATGTGGGGCAACTCATCCTCGCATTCATTTTTTCCGATGGCTCACGTTTTGCCTGTCTTTCAAAATGTTGTTGGAGAAAAACCATTCTTCAATTTTGCTCAGACCCCTGGATTTGTTTTTTATTAAAAAAAAACATGTGATAGATTCCCTTTAAAACCAACAGGGGAAAATAGACAACAATATTATTATTCAAATGGAAGCTTCGACTCGTCGGAACCTCCGGCCCAGTTCGCCTGCCGCGGAAGCTGCGGGGCCCAAGCCCTGCGCCAGAGATGGCTGAGCCGTGAGCCGCCCACCCGGGCTTCGTCCGAGTCTGGGGGGAAGATGAGGCAAGTCGAGTGTGTCAATCCGAATCCCCATGGAATTGCCTCCCCCCACCCTGCCTTCAAACCCTACTACCCTCCCACCAGCTAACATGGAAGTGCCTTCGGACCCCTGTAGAAAGACGACTTTCCTCTTGGAAAGGGCAATTTTGCAATTCCATGCGCTTCCATGTTGGTGGGAGGGAATAAGAGCCTAAAAACAAAAGCATGGAGTTGTGGCGTACTACGCAACTTACTGCATGATCAGGAGAGAACACTCTGTAATTCAAGGCCATGTGCGATGCTGAAATGCTTGGCCACAATGCTTGAGGCGTCCGCGCCGGCCTGCTGTTGTTGCAATAAAAATAATTTTGAAGCACGAGGCCTTGACAGAGTCACCAAAAGAACACATACGGAACCCCGGGGTGAACTGTTGAGAACAGTTGGCCACATATTCACTTGTGCTACTACTGGGTACATGTCTAAAACAACCACTTTTTTGTAACGAGTTATTTACTTCAAAAAGCCAAATATCAAAAGACTCGGCAAGTCGGGCCTCAGCGCTGGGCGGCTCCGCACGCAAAGGCTCCGCAGCGCCATGAGCGGCGGGCGATGAGCGGTTCTTCCCCTGACCTTTTTGGTCTACCCTCTGGTCCACGTTGCCATGGAACCCAGCAGGGGAATGGTCTCTTCGAAAGGAAAAAGGGTCCAAACCAGGAGCTGTGAGGTTCCATGTTTTTGGATGGAGGGCCTAGCCTTTCGTGGAGAAGCCCTGTGTTTCCAAAAGCTCCTTTTCGGGAGATTCGGCTAGAAAAAGACCAGACATGTCAATTACCCTTGTTTGGTTGGCAACTGCCTACGTATTTTTCTGGGACATCCTGAGCACTCCATTCACGCAGTCTTTCGAGCGCGAAGAATTCCAAGCCGCGAGAACCGGGGAGAAGGATGCTGAGAAGCTGGGCGGGGCTTGAGTCGTTGTCTTGCCAAGCTTGAGCCGTCCGGAAAGTCGGAAGCAAACGAATTGAAGCTTTCCTGTTGCTTTCCCTCTAAGCAAACCTCGAAAATACATTAAAAAAACAACAACAGCCAAACGTGAACCAGCGAACCAGTTCCTTGGTTGACGTTGGAAGGGGAGCAAATTTTTAAATTTTAGCAGAAGTGGTTGGATTTCAACAGCTAAACCACAATAAGCAAAAGTGCAAAATGTTTGACAACAACAACCATCAATGAATGGGTTCAAAGTCGAACAAAGCTACAAAGTGATACAACTAATAAAGTGGCCTCTGGCAAGTAGCACATGATTCGTCCTGATTTGAGCTCATAC